GCATGTGTGGGTTTCCTTACAGTTGTCACCATGCAGTAGTTTTCCTTGATGGCTCCACAGCATCCCAGGAATCCAACAACAGCCACAATTACACCAACTACAATCAAAAACACTGGAGCTGATGCAAAGTTAGAAGTGTYRGACACTTTCAAGAAATCCCCATACTCCTTCTTGACAAKAGCACCAACAATGATCAGTGCCAAACCACTTAGCTGAAATAAATGAATGCATTATGAAATGTTTAAATGAACAAGTATAAATATATGAAGATGTGTGACAGGACAGGTTCAATCCATGGATATTTTTGAAAGGTAATTCCACAAGTGTTTAAGTTGAGACCAGCAGACTTGGCACACAAGGCCTTTGAATATTAATTGAGCCACTGAGGTTTTATCAAAATGAGTTTGATCACTTAACATTTGCAACATAATAATTTATGTGGTCATGGAGTGAACACACTCAATCCATGAAAGCTAAACAAAGTTTTTAAATTATCTCAACTCGTTTGTATYTTATTGTATAATCAACACTATTCAGTCGTAATTAGTACTACTTGTTTCACGGATTTAGTGCATCCACTCCACTACGAGCATATATGAAAGGTGCCACTATAATAATTTCAGGGCTTTCTGTTTTTTCGCCTTGACAAATCAAGCGATAAGAAAATGGCTTGCTTATTATAATAAAAATGTCAGAATATATCATAATGAGGAAAGGTTTATGTCTAAAGCTATGATGCTAATAAATAAAACAATYAGAATATGCTACTTCTTATTTAATTATGCCCGTTGTTGGGTAACCAATTCCCTTCGAGAATATTTCAATCAGTTTGATGGTTGTCTTTAGAATTAGCTGCAATGTGAAATAGATTTTTGTTTGTTTACACGCTGAGAAAACTGAAGATATGTACTTTTACTTTTTCTTATTTTCCTAATGAATCGTTCGCGCTGAAACTCTTGGGCTGGCTCGCAGTTTATACGAATAATTTTGCATAATTTCTTTTATTTTGTAAATTATCCCGCCTATACTTAACTTTACTAAACGGCACAAAGTTGTATATATATWACAAAGTAAAAAAAACTTCTGCATCAAAAGAATTGCTTATTCATAGCTGACCTAACAAATAAATTATTTAGAACACGAGAAAGCTGCACAGCAGTTAAGCTGTTATAGAGCCCTAAATTTATTCACAGGCCATTTGATAAACACGCATCGATAGGGAAATGAACAGTTCAGTAAAATGAGCAACTGTAATAAACACCGCTAAAGCATTAACTCTTGCGACAAATAAAACTATAAATTTATGTGAAAGAAGTTCATAAATCAAAGTAAAGGTTGAACTATGGAACGTGCAGCTCGACGAAAGTGTTTGATTCACTTTGCGCCTCGCAAACAGGATCGTGCACGGACCATTCTTTCCGATCTTCGGATTGTCGACTGCATCACTGCAACATAAAACTTACCCAAAATATAAAGTTGAAGATAAAGAGTAGATATTTCACGATTACCATGCCACCAGACGCCATTTTTCTTCTTCTTTTAAAAGCGAACTTGCACACAACTTTCCCTTCCTTCTTGGTGTTTGAACGCTGCTCACTTGCGAAACCTTATTTGCATTATGAAAAAAATTATATTTAGACTGTTACTTAATCTAATTAATCTAACACACAATTTGATTGGTCCTAAGATATAAAAGCAATTTTGATTGGACAATATTGATAGTGGGCGTTGTCACACGAGTGAATGTCACAAACTGAAAAGTAAACTTTTCGTAAGAACTTTTTATAACCTTAAAAATCGGATGATTGAATTAAGGTTTCGTCACATGAACTTTATCAGTCTTATCATCACGTATTGAATAAAGTTTTTTTAAGAAGAAGGGAAAATAAAGATACAGTCGGAAAATGGAAAATGCCAACTGACCGTTTATTTTTTATTATATCTCAGACAATTACTAGTGTGTCGCTTCTTTTTGTTTTCTTCGGTCGGTCCTGCCACACATTGAAACTTTTTCTACATGAAAAGTCCTGTTAATGTTTACTTTTTTCAGTCGTTCTTAACAAAATATGAACAGAGGTGACAGAGCACTAATCAGTAGCATCAGTTGGAAATTTGTTTTAATTTTTCCTACTGTAATCAAGCTACTTTTGTATGTTGAGTGCTGGGTCACATATTAACGACATCAGTGGTGGAACCAGAACTTTAAAAAAATGAAACAATACAATATAGATAAAGTGGTAACATTTAATAGATAGGAAAAATTCACGAGAAAAATCACCTAAATCCACAAATTTCAAGTTTTTAAGCATTTGCAATTAAAGATGGCATAGATATTTTTTATTCATAAATTTATTTATTTATTTATTTTTTTTGCAATTAAAGATGGCATAGATATTTTTTATTCATAAATTTATTTATTTATTTATTTTTTACTTAAATGTGACGTATCATGTTTTTGAATGATGGGGAGAGGTAGTGGAGATATTTTTTTTTTCCCTCTTTGCAATGCCAGATCCATCTGTTTTTCAGAGCAGATTTTTGAATTTTTGACAACCTTTAACTTAAAAATAATTATTTATTAGTGCAGCCGAATCCTATATGTATAATACATTAGATGAAAAGTCTATGTACAATTATATTTCTTACAATATTTTGCATTACAATATTCCTATGTCACTTGTTAAACAGAGTTTTGTTTATACTGTGTTTCTCTATTTYGCTTCAATAACTGGTTTATACAGTATTCACTTTCTTGTCCAACTTCTGTCAGCCTTAAGTCCATGGTTCGTATTGTAGTGTTTTCTTCCATACCTTCCTGTAAAGACTTCCCTCCATCCTGGATATTAGAAAAATAACAGTACAGTTCACTAAGGTTTGATCATTAGGTGTAAAATAGAAAGGAAAAAAAAGATGAATCTTACAGGTCCAATTTTATTGCAAGAAAGATTCAGATCCACCAATGTTTTATTGCTCACTAGTACCTGAGAAAAAACGAATAGATTGTGTAAAACAATATGTATATTTTATATATATATTGTGCTTATTTTCAAATACTCATATTAACATGGTATAGTCTCCTTCCAGAGACAGGAATCCCAAAAAAACCTGATAAACTGTGATGAAGACTTCTTAAGTAATATAGTGGCAAATATATTTGACATTGCAAAAATAAAAGACATACACATCCAACATTATAACTTATCTGCATTATTGATTCTTAGTTGTCTGAGGCAACTACATCGTCATGACACCTAATATGACCATAGTTAGTAACTATATGATATGACCAAGAGATTCCTCTGAATCTTTTGGTTGTCTCAGCTTGTGATAGTGCTTTATTTTATTTACTAAATGATGGATATGTCTTTTTTATTTTGTTAAATATACCTGTGCTAGTATTGCTGCAGTTGGTTCACCAAGGTCATTACTCCCAATATGGACATCTGTAAGGGTATTGTTTTTCAATAACGCACGACAAATACTTTGACCCCCATCATCACCAAGTCTACAATAATAATTGTACATGAAACAGAATCTAAATATCATTGTTGTCAAATGACTTTTTAGTACTCAAAGGTAAAATGCATGCTGAAATGTCTGCATATAATTCCCTCTCTTAAGAGCATATTGTGTAATTAGTGGGTAAATCATGAGTAATTCATCAATGTTGACGAGATCAAACACAGGCTGTAACAGCTGTGCAAGGTGTCCAGTTGAAATGGATTATTTTTCATCTGACTTCATGATTTACCTATTATTCATGATTTGACTTATAAACATATGATTTCTGAGTTTATCCCACTTGGCCTCATGCAGGGCTGTATGCAAGCACTGGTTTTTGAAAAATTGGTTCAGATTTCTAGCCAATATTTTTGGTGTTTTTACAAGTAAGAGATCGTTTTTGGAGTAAAACTCATGAGTGCAGGGTTCTCAGTAGAAATAAAAGTAGATGTCAAATAGGAAAAGTACAGCCAAATAATTTGGGAATAAATTCGTAAGTAGCCGGCGATGAACCTCTATAACTGGAGATTTTCGCAGGCTGCCAGGTTCTGCTGAGAACCATGAGTGATGGATGAACTTATTGAAAATATTAATTCTTCTTCTTCAGAGTGTTACTACCACAACCTCACCTGTTCATTCGCAAGTTAATAGACTTGAGGATTTGGTTCTTTCCCAGAGCATGTCCAATAGCTGCAGCTCCATTGGCACGTATTTTGTTGTCACAAAGATTAAGGGTAGTAAGCTTACATCTTCCATTCAATAACTTACCAACAGCTCTGGCACCACTGTCCCCTATTTTATTGTGAGACAAATCTAGAAAAGAAAACCTCTGCCTTAATAACAGTTTAAATGCTTTAGGATGCATCTAGGAAAATTAATAGCATTAAATGATCAGAGCCAAAAGACTGCACTTKCCCTCTTGTTTCTTAATTTTGATGCAAAAACTTTCCAAGGCCGCTATACTATCATGACAATGTCTGTCTTAATCAATTGGTCCGATCTGTGTTTCATGTGTTTTACATACCTAATGTGAGCAATGATGGATGCTCCAAGAGATGACTTATAAGAACCCTCACTTTTTCATCATCCACCTTACTTTGATGAAGRTGAAAGACCTTTAGAGTTGTGCATGCTTTGACAGCCTGCAAAGGAATGCATTAAAAGAAAGATAAACCGATCCTTGTCATTGCCTCATTCTAGAGTAGAATTCGTATGACTGTGCAAAAACAACAACAACAACAACAAAAAACAAAGCACTTTCACGAAATAACTGAGCCATACAGTGAGGATATGTTCTTGAATTAATTACTATATCATTTGACGTCACTGTCAGGCGATCAGGTTCTAGTGAGCATATCATTACCTTTGCATGAGCCATACAAAATCCATTTTATTGATCTTTTTTTTATACAAATCAAAACCTTGCATAATTACATATTATGTAAAAATATATAAA